CTCTGAGTGAAATTGACACTTACCTGTTCAGAACACAATGTTATAAGATATGTCATTTAATAGATGAAAACCTTGAAATTCTATTGGTTATAGGTAATATAAAATTAAACATAAAATAGAACTATTCACACAGCCTGAAAGAAAGGATGCGACAGGTAGGTGTGGCAGGAGGGATGTGATTTTCTATTTATAGCTCTGTAATCAAACAAAATTGAAGGCTATAAAAATTATGGTTTGTCTGTGCAATAACGATATTATAGAGAGTAATTTATGTTTAATTAACACTAGAGGAATTTCAGGATTTTTAAAAAATATTTCCTTATAGAATTAATAACTTAAAATTTATATACTATTAAAATATGGATTATTAGCTAAGTGTTTATTCCATATTAATTGGTATAACATAAACAAAAAAGAAGTTTAAGAAGATTCTGAATGTAAGACACTAAAACTTTTTGTCATGCATAGTAGAGGATAACCGGGGTGAAAGGGTTAATGGAAATCATGTTCTGATTATTCCAAGTAACTGAAATATTGCCATTATGATTTGTCATTATTCTTTTATTACAAGTTACAGCTTTTACAATAAGAAAGAACATTCATAAAAACAGGTACTGGAACTTGTTATATTTATAGTCCTTAAGTAAACTCAAAACAAAACTATAAATTATTATATTCTGATAATCATGTCTACTAACTTGCCAAGTGACTTTAAATCAAAGAAAGGTGAATTCTCTTTTCTACTAGTTTCTGTTAGTATGCCCTGTTTTGTATTACGTGTACCGTTTCTGTTAGTATGCCCTATATTCTGATAATCATATCTACTAACTTGCCAAGTGACCCTCTAAATCAAAGAAAGGTGAATTCTCTTTTCTACTAGTTTCTGTTAGTATGCCCAGTTTTGTATTACGTGTACTGTTTTACACGTAATACAAAACAGGGCATACTAACAGACACGTAATACAAAACAGGGCATACTAACAGAAACGGACCGTTTCTGTTAGTATGCCCTATATTCTGATAATCATGTCTACTAACTTGCCAAGTGACTCTCTAAATCAAAGAAAGGTGAATTCTCTTTTCTACTAGTATCTGTTAGTATGCCCTGTTTTGTATTACGTGTATCGTTTCTGTTAGTATGCCCAGTTTTGTATTACGTGTACCGTTTCTGTTAGTATGCCCTGTTTTGTATTACGTGTACCGTTTCTGTTAGTATGCCCTATATTCTGATAATCATGTCTACTAACTTGCCAAGTGACTCTAAATCAAAGATATGTGAATTCTCTTTTCTACTATTTACTCAAATGAACCTTAGAATGAAAATGTTGCTAATCATGTGATCTTTTCAATGAAATCTGAAGTGACTCTTTAATTTCATATTGAAGCAACTGACCATCTAAATTAAAGTTGTATGAATTTTAATGTTTACTATCTAACCAATAAAAACTCCATCACTATTCCAATCATTCCTTTTAATCAAATGATCCTTTGACTAAGTCCAATAGGCTCTTCAATCTCTTATCAAAGCAACTGACCATCTAAATCAAAGTTGTATGAATTTTAATGTTTACTATCTAACCAATAAAAACTCCATCACTATTCCAATCATTCCTTTTAATCAAATGATCCTTTGACTAAGTCCAATAGGCTCTTCAATCTCTTATCAAAGCAAGTGATCATTTCAATAAAATTTAAGCAATCTCTACTGCTTGCTTATCTAGTGATCCTTTGTTTGGGTGTTTAGTAAACTCTCCAGCCTACTATTTAACAAAGTGATCCTCTATACAAATGTCAATAAACTCTTGAGTTTGACATCAAACAGAATTATCTCTTATATGACAGTTCAGTGAATTATCCTGTATTATTTAATGAACTGATCATTTGTATCAAAGTTCTGTGAATTCCTCCATCTACTAACTAACTTAGTGATCCTTTGAATGAATGTCCATTGTTATATGTAAAGAAACAATTCTTTAAATGAGTTATTAAATATGGAGGTTTGCTACAGAAATGGAATCAAGCGATACTTTACATAACAGTTCATTTGCCTTTTATAATATTTATTAGGTAAAATATATAGTATGGTTTAGAACTTTCAATTAACTCTCTTGCTACAAAGTCAGTCAAATCAACAGACCTTGTAACCATTTTGACCTTGTTATAGCTTTCATACTATAACTTTTAATACACTTTGTGTAACCTTAACAAAATTTGACAGACTTTCAGTAAACATTACAAGTCTTTTGTACACAAGAAATCAGATTTTTAATGAAGTATTTTTACTAAAGATTTGTTCTTGAATATATATAGTATTTCTATATACTAGTCTGAGTGAAAATGATTTTCACGTTAAGATTAAAAATACTTCTTTTCATCTCAAAAATCTTATATTTCATTTGTGCAATCTCTAGTCTTTTAAATAAATTTCAAACGTTTTTATTTTATCTGTTATTTTCTATACCCTAACCTTATACAAGGTTGGTCAATTTGACCGACTTCTTAACCACCAAAAAAAATCTAAATTACCATTTTTTTCTTTCTAGAATGACTTCAAATTGTAATATAAGACTACATTTATTTTAAATTGCTTTAAACTCAAAACAGTATACATCAATTTATACTTAAATTTTATTGTCCTTTGAACCCTGTCTTAAGTACTATTTGTGCCATTACAAGTTGTAATGTACTTGGCGAACATGCAGTTCACGTTACACTATTGAATTACATTATGCACAAGCTGCTCGCAAGCATTCCTCATGAAAATTTTTTTATTATATTATTATTTATTTCACCTAATAACCTTAACTAACATCAAAAGATTCCTATTTTTACATCTTAGTTACTTTTATTATAATAAAAAAAGAAATAACATGAAAAACACAAAAAAAGTACTCATATGTCGACTTTTGATGAGACTTAACCCTACTTTTTTTATATACTGAAGATTATACTGTATTAAATAATTATTTAATTAAATAATGCACCAAAGAACACAGAATAATAATGTGCAAAAAGCAGACAATGTCCCATAACTATTACAATTTTCTGGCTTTCTAACTTTCTAACTATGCAACAAGAGCCATTAAAACTTCATCTAAGCTCACTGACGAGTTTCCCATGGGAATCAAGCTTGAACTGAAAGCAAAATTGACAATTCTTTTCAGAGTAAACAATGTAATATAATATGTCATTTGATAGATTAAATCCTTGGTTTTCTATTGGTTATAAACAATATAGTATTGGATGCCAGAGAGAACTACTGGCAAGTTGAGTTTGTGAAAGATAGGATGTGATAGCTGGGCGTGGCAAGAGGAGTCTGATTGTCTATTTCATGGTTAGGAAAATTATGCTTTGCTGAGTGATGACAATATTATAATGAGTAATTTACATTAAATTTCATACTTCTTGGAGGGGTGGTAAATAAATTAGAGAAGAGGGGATACCTAGAGCACAAATGTCACAGTAGGGGAAATTCTACATTTTTTTATATTGCTTAAAAAAGTAAGAACTTAAACTTATATAATATTAAAATATGAATTATTAGATACGTTTATATACTATATTTAATGGTATATCATGAAAAAGTACTTTAATTACATTTTGAATGTAACTCACTAAAAACCTCATCACATGTGCAAAAAAGATGTCAGAGGAGAGAGGGTTAATCAGTGACGTTTCCTGCTCATATAATGATCCTCAATGTTTTTAATCTGAGATTTTCAAGTTTTATCATACTTTATTTTCAGAGGTTTCAACATTATGTTTTATGTGAAAGGAAGCTTCTTGAATCTTTAAATCAAGATGATATATATATATTTCCACTTGAATATATAAGTTACATAAACAATATGTTATGTTGTCTTTAAACCTGAATCTTTAAGTTTTCCAAACAAGATGATATACTTGTTTCTCTTATTGAGTCATTAAGTTCATTAAACAAGATGATATACTTGTTTCTCTTATTGAGTCATCAAGTTCATTAAACAAGATGATATACTTGTCTTTCTTTGAATATTTAAGTTCCCCAAACAATATGATATTTTCCTTCAGCTGATTATTTTCAGTGGGTGTTTGAATAACTCACAACAAATTGTTTATATGACAACTTAATTAGTGTTTAATTCATAGGACACGAGCGTAACAAGGTTTTAACTGACACCTGCAATGAATTAAATGTACTTTCCGATTTGGAATCAAATTGTTTTGTTTCTAATAAAATGTACTTCAGCTCTTATACTTTGCATGTCTCAGTCTCAAAGATAACTATATTAATTCAAATTCTAAATTAAATAGAAAAGTTACTTGTAAAGAAAAAAAAGTTAGAGTTAAATCTTAATACTTACGTGTGTACATCGTTAAGAACCATGGGATGGCATACAACTGGAAAAGAAAGTTTAATAAAAGATTATTTTAATCAAATATATGTATGACATAAAAAGATATTCATTATTAGGAGAAACACACATACCTTCAAGTAAAGGCAAGTAAAAATATTCAAAACTATTGTTATTCTGACAAATTACCCAAAGTGTTCATACAAGAACCCTTTCTTGCCATGTATTGTAAGTGGAATTCAGCATTACATTAATTAAACAAAAAATACTTGTCATGCAGAGCCAGTGTAGCTTGCTTTTATTCTTAGAGCAAAGACAAATTGGACTATATACTGGGTTCACCATGGGGAATCTAACCCCAGTTTTAGCATTGTAAGTTCACAGACAGACTTACTGTTTTCCCACCAGGTGATACCAGTGTAATAGTTCATTAATTAAGTAGCCTAACAAATAATATACTTCTCACGTAGAAGCAGTGTAACAATCCATTAATTAATTATTCTAACAAACAATACTTGTTGTGTAGATTCAGTGTAACATTCCATTAATTATTCTAACAAACAGTACTTGTTGTGTAGATTTGGTGTAGCAGTCCATTAATTATTCTAACAAACAATACTTGTTGTGTAGATTCAGTGTAGCAGTCCATTAATTATTCTAACAAACAATACTTGTTGTGTAGATTCAGTGTAGC